TGTTTGTGTGTGTGCATAAAAGCCACCTGGTCTAGGAACATATCATTACTCAAAGCCTTGCTTGAAATGGATTTACAATTGGACATAAAAGCAGAGAGTGTCTTCTGCTCCTCAAGCCAATTTTAGAACAACGTTGGGGAGGGACAAAAGATTTCGTATTATTTTTAAGTAATTTTCCTGAGTGAGGAAATTGAACCAAGCCCAGCTTGCTATAATGAGGGATTATAATTGCCTGGAGGCCTGAAACGCATCATGTGGGACTGTGAAATGTTCAATTAACAGTAGAACACTGCTGGAACTTGTGCCTGGTGTTGTTACGCTAGGAAATGAAAGGATGGAGATATATATATATATCTCCTTTCATTTCTATATGTAGGTATTCTTTCCATTTCCTATATATGTGCATATGTGTATTTGTATATGTGTATGTATCAAATATATAAATATTTGTGTAATTATTTGTAGATACACACACACACACACACATATATGTTACACACACATGCACATACATCTCTATCATCATCTCTATGTCTGTCTGTCTTATCATCCATCATCTATCTATATCTATCTGTCATATATCTCTATCTATCTCATGTCTTTCTATCTGTCTATATCTGTCTATCTATCTATCTATCTTTCTATCTATCTATCTATCATCTGTCTGTCTATCTATCTCTATCTATCTATCTCTATCTATCTATCTATCTATCTATCTATCTATCATCTGTCTATCTATCTATCTATCTATCTATCTATCTATCTATCTATCTATCTAAAAGTTTGTTTGCTTGCTTGGCTACAGATATATGGACTTGTTAAAGAGAAACCCTGATACCAATGCACAGGTATTCCTTGACTTACAACAGCTCATCTCATGCCCGTTTGAAGTTACAGTGGCACTGAAAAAAGCAATTTAGGACCGTTTTCCACCCTTACGTCCTTCGTAGAGGCTGCATGATCCCATGGCCCAAATTCACATGCTTAGCTGCTGGTTCACACTTACGATCGTTGTGGCATCCCCATGGTCATGGGATCCCAATTGAACAACCGTGAATCTTAGTAACTTAATCAACTGCAGCAAGGAAAGTCCTAAATATGGGACAAAGCTGACTTAACCAATGTTTTGTTTAGCAACGGGAAAAATTGGGGCTCATTTGTGGTTGTAAATCCAGGACTACCTTGTTATGTATTTGCAGAAGCGTAGATGTATAATGCATTTGTGCAACCAGGGCTAGAGATTAAAGCCCGTCTGGTTGATTTCCTACCCATCCCCTGGTTGGAGACGTGCTAAATAAGCTGTGACTACATTTGGCTCCCAAATGCCATCTTCCCTGATTGGCATGTGATGGAACTTTAATTGTTTCATCTGAAGATTGTTTATCTGTTTTCCCTCTGGCTAGCTTCACTGTGATGCTCGGAGAACGGGATGCAGCCATTACCAGCTCCCCTCTAATTTCCCTCTTGATCCTTGCAGGGAAATGCTGGCATTGGCACAGCTTCCCGTTTTCTTTTTAATTAAACAAGTTGCTTGAATTTAGATGAGAAAGAGAGAGAGAAGAAAGAAAGAAAGAAAGAAAGAAAGAAAGAAAGAAAGAAAGAAAGAAAGAAAGAAAGAGAGAGAGAGAGAGAGAGAAAGAAAAGAAAGAGAGAGAGAAAGGGAGGGAGGGGGGAGGAAGAAAGAAAGAGAGGGAGAGAGAGAAAGAAAAGAAAGAGAAGGAGAGAGAAAGGAAGGAAGGGAGAGAGAGTGGGGAGGAAGAAAGAGAGAGAGAGAGAAAAGAGAGAGAAGGAGAGAGAAAGGAAGGGAGGGAGGGAGAGGGGGAGGAAGAAAGAAAGAGAGAGAGAGAAAGAAAAGAAAGAGAGAGAGAAGGAGAGAGAAAGGAAGGGAGGGAGGGAGAGAGGGAAGGAAGAAAGAAAGAGAGAGGGGAGTGAGGAGAGAGATTCAATCTGCCTGTATCTCTGTCATTAGGCCTTAGTCAATCTGACCGGATCGAACTCCTGACAGTGGGCAGAGTTAGCTTGCAACACTTAATTTTAACGATTGCACAGGAAGGAAGGAAGGAAGGAAGGAAGGAAGGAAGGAAGGAAAATAGCAATAGCACTTAGACTTATATACCACTTCACAGTGCTTTCCAGCCCTCTCTACGAAGTTTACAGAGTCAGCCTCTTGCCCCCAACAATCTGAGTCCTCATTTTACCAATCTCGGAAGGACGGAAGGCTGAGTCAACTTTGAGCCTCCTTGACTCTTGAGCCCTTTGGAGATATTGAGTCTGTGCTATTGAACTGAACATGTTATGAACAATAAATCTTCTGTGTACCACTTTCGTTTGGTCACATGGTTTTATTTCTTTACAATTTAGGTTGGTCACAATTTTTAATGTGTGGATTGCTGGAACATCCCGGGAAAAGATAGAGAAAACTGAATATATATGTGCATAAGAGGTGGAAAGAAAAGAAAAAAAATGGAAAGAGAGACAGTTGGGTATTTTTAGCTGTGTCTTTTTGCCTCAACAATATTTAATAAGGGAACAGAACAAAGTCTTGCCATGTTTTATCTCTTTTTTGTTCTCTAAAATACACATTTTTTCTCAAATGTCAAGAACTTCAAACTTCTCTTTGTAGAAGCTTCAAAACGAAGTGGTTGAACTTTGATGAAGACCTGTGGATAAGGCGGTTTGAACCTCTGAAGCTGTTGTAGCCAACTTTGCTTTGATATAAATTTGAGTTGGAGAGAGAGGGGACCTAAGGGGTGGGGGGAAATCATAGAAGAAAACAAACTGTCTCAGGAGGTCCCTGCGGATCTACATACAATGAAGAATCAGTTGTGCTGGAGGCGATGACTTCTCGTGTGCATTAAAAAAAATAAAAATAAAAATTAGCTCCTTAGAATTAATTCAGCCCTGCTGCTGATACAGTAGTTATTCCAAAACATTCTGCATTTTTTCCCCCTTCCACATCGGTCTTCTGCCTTTTTGCTAGAAAACCAGTTCTTTTTATTGTCTCTTCCCCAAAGATGGTAGAATATTGGTGGGTGAGATGCAGGATTGTTGAATCTGTGCCTCTCAAGCACCCAATAATGCAATCCAGTTCCGAGGAAGATTTCATCAAATCCTACCAAATCATGCCAAAGGCTTTCTCGGATCAGGAAGCAGGTGCAATCAAGAAGAAGGAGGAGAAGGAGAAGTAGGAGTGGTGGTGATGATGATGGAACGGGGAGGAGGAGAAGAGAGGAGGAGAAGAGAGGAGGAGGAGGAGGAGGAGGAGGAGGAGGAGGAGGAGGAGGAGGAGGAGGAGGAGGAGGAGGAGGAAGAAGAGGAGGAAGAAGAAGAAGAAGAAGAAGAAGAAGAAGAAGAAGAAGAAGAAGAAGGTTTAATTGTAATATGCTCGTCTTACCCCTCAAAAGCTGATGAGAAGTCTACCAGAAAACATTTACAATGGTGTTAATCACCTGAACAAATGCTTAAACCTATCAAAAGAAGCCACTACCTCCTTTCACAGAAGAACAAGAAAAGCTGTTGCATGTTGGAGGCCATATTTCAGCCCATCACTGGTTGCAACTTAGCTCAGACATGAGTATTCTCTCTTCTCAAATGCATTTTCCTTCCAAGATGGACAGTAGCAAAACTTAACCTTCTTCTGTCTGTCACTTCAAGGTTAAGGGTAGCAACATCTTATCTCCAGAGGCTAAATGATGAGCCAGCCTTCTCCCATTCGTCAGAGGGGGAAAGAGTCGACACAAGGACATTGTGACTGAGAAATCTGTTCCTGGTTTTTGGTGGGTTTCCATAGCATTTCTTTGCAAACTCTGGCAGGATGTCTGGAGATCTTTCTTTTTCTTTCTTCCTTCCTTCCTTTTTCTTTTTCTCTTTCTTTCTTCTTCCTTTCTGTCTTTCCTTTCCTTCCTTTGCTTTTTTCTTCCTTATGCCTTCCTTCCTTCCTTCCTTCTTTTTTCCTTCCTTTCTTCTTTTTTCCTTCCTTTTTCTTCCTTTCTTCCTTTCCTTCCTTCCTCTTTTCTTTTCTTTCCTGCTTTCCCTCCTTCCCTCCCTCCCTCCTTCATTCCTCCCTTTCCTTCTTCCTTTCCTTCTTTTCTTTCCTTCTTTCCTTTCCTTCCTTCCTCCTCTCCATACTTCAGCTCTGATCTCTGTCACAGCGTTTTAAAACAGCCTTATAATCAGTGTAATTGAAGATCATAATTAATGAGAATGCAAGCATTTGTAAACTACCACCCTTCCTGCCCTTATTACACTAGCTGTCTGATATTAGATAAGGAAAACTGAAAATACATTTGCCTAATTAGAAGATGCATATTGCCAAGTGGGGGGATTAAACACATTTTTGCTGTTTCAGTATGGGTGTACAATGCGTGTGTGTGTGTGTTGTGTGTGTGTGAGAGAGAGAGAGCGAAAGAGGAACACACACACACACACACACACACACATATACCCAGCAATCATTATTTTTTTTCAACCTTATGGTCAACTCTGCATTGAACAACACTCTACTTTTAAGGCATTGTGTTAATTAAAATTTCTTCATGCTGAGATTTGTCCCCAGCCTTGTGATTAGCATACATATAAATGTTTGCTAATTGGTGGTTCCTTCAAACTCTCAACTTTCCAGTTGCTTTGCTATCGCTGCACTATTGTATCTTCGTTGTTGTGCGTACTGCACAGCGTGTTTGTGTTCTGGGGGGGACGAAGGTGAAAAAATGGTTTTCAAACCATGAAGTTTGTTTGTTTGTATCCTAACTTTATTGTGGGTTTTTTTTTACAAATAACTCCTGCTGGGGAATATTTCCAACACACTTTCTTTCTCCTATTTTCTCATCAACAAACCCTGTGAGCAGGACTAGAACTCACCGCCTCCTGGTGATTGGCCCAAATTCACCCAGTCGGCTTTCATGCCTATGGTGGGACTAGAACTCACTGTCTCCTGGTGACTAGCCCAAATTCACATATTTCTGCTATTTTCTGCCTCACCTTCTTTCTTTGTCTTGTAGGAAGCAGTTTTGTTGTCAGTGAGGGCAGCTACTTGGACTTCTCTGACTGGCTGAATCCTGCAAAGCTCTCCCTGTATTATCAAATCAATGCCACCTCGCCATGGATCCGTGATCTTTGTGGGCAGAGAACGACGGATGCGTGTGAGCATCTCTGCGATGAAGAAACTGGTAAGTGGACCATTGGCCAAGCTCAGGTCATCTGAATGGAGCTTTGTAGTCTCCTTCTCTTGAATTCAATCCCAAATCTCCTCTTCCAACCCAGCAAAGGTGGGTTCTATCCGAATTATAGAAAAATAATGGGTTTAAGTGTTCATCAACAATTGGTCTTCTCAGCAAAGGAGAAGATTGCCAGGCCGAAGAATCAATGCAAAAGAACATGGCTTCAATCCGATAAGGTCTCTAAAATTTACCATTCGGGGTGAATAGAAGTGCACGGTTGATGTACATTTAATTTCTCTCCAAAACAACTTTGAAAGAGCAATCTTGCTTCTAATCAAATAAACCCAGGTTGCCATCTATGTACAGAACCAGTCAATGAAAGATAATAATGGCAATCGCACTTAGACTTATATACAGCCCTCTCCATGTGGTTGACAGAGTCAGCAAATGGCCCCCAACAATCTGGGTCTTCGCTTTACTGACCTCGGAAGGATGAATGGCTGAGTCAACCTTGAGCCAGTCAGGATCAAACTGGTGGCAATGGGCAGAATTAACCTGCAATACTGCATTCTAATCACTGCACCGCCCTAGGAAGGAAAGGAAAGGAAAGGAAAGGAAAGGAAAGGAAAGGAAAGGAAAGGAAAGGAAAGGAAAGGAAAGGAAGGAAGAAAGGAAGGAAGGAAGGAAGGAAGGAAGGAAGGAAGGAAGGAAGGAAGGAAGGAAGGAAGGAAGGAAGGAAGGAAAGGAAAGGAAGGAAGGGGAGGAAGGAAGGAAGGAAGGAAGGAAGGAAGAATAGCAATAGCACTTAGACTTATATACCTCTTCACAGTGCTGTACTACCCTCTCTTAAGTGTTTTACCAAGTCAGCATCTTGACTACCAACCTCGGAAGGATGGAAGGCTGAGTCAACCTTGAGCCGGGGAGGATCAAACTGCTGACAGTCAGCAGAGTTAGCCTGTATTACAGCATTCTAACCACTGCAGCATCACAGCTCTTCCCAAGATCCTGGAAAAACGATCTTTAAAATCATATCATCTCCTTTCCTCTCCTTCTCTCTCCCTCCACCACCACCAGCACATTTGCAGTGGGGTGACCTCTGGTAAAAAAAATCCCTGATGCTGGGAACTGGATTTGGCCTCATTCCAACAGGAATGTAGGCTCGGGTCTGAACAGATTGCTCTGAGCTGCCTTTCTCAGATAATTGCCAGCAGAAGGTCAGATGCAGGGAGAAAGATCTCAGCTTCCTGAAAACAAAAGCTCCTTCTAATAGAATCAAGCTGCGCGTGTTGTTTGCAAAACCAAGAGAGGTGTGTAAACCGGTTGGCACCGGCAGAACCCATCCGTAGCATTCTTCTTCCTGTTTCTTTCTTAGAAAGTCTGTCTTAAAGCAGCTCAGGGTTAGGGGGCACCCGGGCTGAACAGATGATGGTGTGAACTCAACCAGTTGCGTTGTGCAAACCATGGTTTAATCAGCAAAGTCAAGTGGAAAAGCCTGACTTAGGCCGATGGGAACTTGAATGCTTTTGCAGAATTAATCGCTAGGTTGAGATGGAGATACGGCCGTCTTCAAATCTTGGCTTGCAGTTTTCACTGTGGACTAACTGGCCTGTATTTCTGCACTGGAGACATTCAGTATCTATTCACACAGCTAAATAAAGTATCCTATTTTTATTTCCTATTCTATTCCATGCCAATTTCTATTCTGTTCTGTTCTATTCCAATTTCTATTCTGTTTTATTCTATTATTTATTATTCTCTTTTCTATTCTGTTCTGTTCTATATATTCTATTCCAATTTCTATTCTGTTCTATTCTATTCTATTCTATTCTGACCTGGCCTAACCTAACCTAACCTAATTCTATTAGGGAGGAGGAAGAGGAGGAGGAGGAAGAGGAGGAGAAAACAGACTGTGGAGTCCTCTGAGCTTAGTGGTTTTCTTGAAGACATTTCATTCATTCTAGGTAACATCATCAGTGCTAGAAGAGAGTGGGGTGTGTGGGGAGGAGGAGGAGGGGGAGGAGGAGGAGGAAGAAGAAGAGGAGGAGGAGAAAACAGCCTGTGGAATCCTCTGAGCTTAGTAGTTTTCTTGAAGACATTTCATTCATTTTAGGTAACATCATCAGTGCTAGAAGAGGGAGACCAAACCTCACATCCTCTTAGCAATGATGATGCTACCTAGTTGGGCAATTAAATGTTAGGAGGAGGAGGTAGAGAAGGAAGAAGAGGAAGAAGAGGTGGAGGAGGAGGAGGAAGAGAAGGAGGACTTAAAATGCAGAGGAACTCCAGGTTCTGCCAGTGTGTGACATAAAAACACCGCCATTCATTAATCCACTAATTAACCAACGAATAACAACAGTAACATCTTTATATCACACAACGATGCTCCCTTCTCTGCTCTTCTCCAATCTGGGTGTTTTATTTTACCTTTTTTTTTTTTTCCTTCTTTCCCCAAGTCTGGCTGATTTGTAGAACATATATTTGTTATTCTGTAAGTGCGAGGAGTTAATGGCCCAGGCAGATAATAATAATAAAAAAACTCAGGAGGGAAGAAATGACTTATGAAGGGCCACTTCAATTGGAAAAATAAAAAAAACCCTTCCCTAAAAACAAATTGAGAGTGCGGTAGGGGGCCAGTTCCTTTTATCCATCCCTTTGCCTCTCCAAGCCAAGATGGGGTGCTTTCCTGCCAAGTCATTCCTACCCTGGTTTCTCCTTTCCTTACCCCATTCTCCACCCTAAATCAGACCTTCCCACACACCCCTATTTCCATTGCTGGAAAGGTTACTTTTTGGAAACTTCACCGTCATGAATCAGAAAGTTAGCTGGCTCCTAACAGCTCATAAATCAGGTCTCGGGCATCACCGGGACGATTATCCCCAGACGTTTAATCTTTTAATATCAAGACGTGTCTAAGACGGTGAATATTTTATAAAAGAGCGGTTGCAATTTAGCATGTCATTAGCCTGTCTTAGGTTTTTTTTTTTCCCTTCCTTTTTTGGGGGGGGGAGTTATCTCTCCCA